ACCGGGCGGAGGAGTTGAACCGGCAGCTTCTCGACAGGGAGCGCGAGCTGGAGGAGGTGCGCAATGCACATGAGGAAGTGAAGACACGATCTCTCAACGAGCTGAACGATCAGGCGGAGGAGCTGAACCGGCAGCTGGAGGAGCTGCGGGCGGAGAATGAGCAGCTGCGCGCCGGGGACGAGGAGAAGGTTCGCGAGCTCAACGAGCTGAACGACCAGGTGGAATTTATGAAGTGCCAACTGGAGCAGCTGAGGGCAGAGAATGAGCAGCTTCTTTCACAGTTGACTGCTGCTGAACCTAGTGTTCGTTTAGGGGATATTGTTCGTACGAGGCATCGTTGTTCTTTGAGTTTGTTCGGCTTGGGTGATGCGCTCGTGGGGAATTTAGAAGTACTGCGGAGTGCTGTAACGATGGATGTGGCGAGTGCAGTTGGTGTGGGTGTTGAGGATGTGGACGGTGTTGAATTTGGTGCAAATGCTTCTTTTTGTGAGGTGGGCGTTTCTCATGATGTTTGTTTGTCGGAGGAGGAGATCGATCGGCGCCTGAGTCGTTGCCCGTTTATGTCTGTAAGGCGTTTGATTTCCCCTTCTGTGGCAGCGGAGGATGCGCTGGAGCGGGCGCACGCCATGGTGGATGTGTTGAGTAAGCTTGAGGCATGTGGTGTTGATCCGTTGTTAAATGTAGTGGTGGAGGAGTATATGTCCCGTCTTGTGCTTGAGCAGTCCGCGATGGCGTTGCGGCTTGAGAGGGCGTTGGAGGGCTTTAGGTTTTTGGGTACCGCCCATCAACGGCGCGAATTAGATCTCCTGGAAGAGCTGGATGAGCGGGCTACTGAGTACACGGACATGCTGGAGAAGACGGAGGAGATGATGCAGATGTTGGAGGAGGCGCGACAGGCAGAGTGCAGTGCCCGGAATGACCTCTACAAGCGCGAAGAGGCGCTGTTGGAGTTGGAGCGACGTCGAGATGTTGAGGTGCGTGACCTCGAAAGCATGACACACGCCCATCGCAACTTGCTGCAGTCGGTGCGTTACTCGCAGGAGATGCTGTCGAACAACCAGGTGGCGGGGCTGTTACGTGAGGCAGAGCGTGTGTCGGATCTTCAACGGCAAACTGCACTTCTAGAGCAAGAGAACGGCGCGCTGCGGCAGGAGATGGCGCAGCGCGCGGTGGCGCATCGGGAGGCGATGGAGGTGCTGAACAACAAGGTCGCCACACTCATGGAGGAGCTCGAGGTGAAGGGGACGGAGTACACCGAAACACTCGGGAAGCTGGAGGAGTTTGTCGGTTTGCTGGAGGCGTCGCGTGCTGCCGAGAAGGCGGCGTTGATGACGTTGGAGAGGCGGGAGCAGGAGCTGTTTGAGTTGCAGGCTGCACATGATGAGGAGATGAGGGAACTGGAGGGCGCCATGAGGCAGCTCGATCTCCTTTCTTTGCCCCTGCAGGAGGGTTATGGCGATGCTCGCGCGGCGGAAGCGCCCCCAGGCACCACCCCGGATAGCGGCGACGCAGGTGTTGTGCGTTCGATGCGACAGCAGTTGGAGCGACTAAAGCGCGAAAAGGAGGCGCTCGCCATGGAGCTTGAAGTGAAGGGGCGGCAGCACGACGACGCGATGGATGTGCTCAACCGGAATATTGGGGATTTGATGGGTGAGCTGGACTCCCGCATACGTGGATGTCAGGTGTCGGCGACGAGCGCGAAGGAACTGCTGCGCGACATTGCAATGCTGCGCTCCGCCGAGGAGGAAGATGATGAGTCCAACGAGGGCGAGTAGGACAGATTCGCCCCAGCCTCCCTCGGGTGCGGCGTCGCCGCAGCGCTGCTGCAGGAGTGATGAAACCAGAAAGAGGATTGTGTTACAAGTAAAGGAACTTGGCCCTAATGTAAGTATGTATGTATGTATGTATGTATGCAGAGACGAAACACTGCCCCTCTTCCTCTTAACTCACACAAAGAAGGCCTCCTGAATAACTGCGAGAAGAAGAAATACACAGTAGAAATGGCGATAGAAAATATGAAGTACAAAGATTTAATAATCGAGGCAGGCGTATTTGGTCTTCAAATGTGTGTGTGTAAGTGTAAGGACTCTTATGTATGTATGCATTTTGGGAGGATTACTTATGGATGTTCGAATGTGTGTGCTCGTATGTATCCATTGGCAGTGCGTTATGCTCACATCAATTTCTCAGTGGGACATCAATTTCCGACCGTATGCGTCGTTGTTGGCACCCTCACTCCTCTATGGTTTATTACGTTTTACAGTCTTATTAAATGTTTAGCAGTGGACCATCCATTCGGTCTGTTACAAACAGGAATATGTCTTTTGGGTTAACGACTGCTGAGGCTCGTATTGATGGCGAGGGAAAAAGAAATTATTAGAATAATTTGCTTGTAGAGGAATAGTATTTTTTTTGTGTGTGATTTGGTATTGCTTTAATTGCTCTCTCGGCGAGTGTGTTTGTGTGGGCTTTTGAATGGGCGGCGTTGCAGTTGGCCGCCGCTTGGGAGTTGCAGGTATTTCCCCTCCGCAGTGAATTGCTGGCCGGCCCTGTCGCTTCCTTCACTGTCTGACCCACACCGCATCTCGCCTACTCAACACGTCGCTATCGTCTGCATGCGGTGGCCCCCGTTGCACTCCCTCCCCTCTCTCTGTTACTCTGCACATGTGTTCCTGCGGGTCCGAGCCTCTTTTGCTTAACGGGTAGCTTTGTGTTCTGCAGTTCTTTGGTGTCTTCGCGCCTCGTCGTCGTGCGTGGTAGGCCGGTAGCGCCTTTATTGCTGAAGAGTAGTAGCTTCAGTGTCCCTTTTAGGTGTGCCGTCCGGCCGCGTTATTTTTCTGGGTGCGATGAAAATCAGTTGAACAGCAGGCGAGGCTTACGATGTTTGTTCGTAAAAAAAAATACTCGAAACAAAAGAGAGCGGGAGGAATCCTGTCAGCCGTGTGCACGTAGAAGTGTTGGCATGCGTTCGTGAATTGTGCATTTTGCTTTTTTTTTTCTTTCCTTCGCGTGGGGGAGAGAGACTGACAGGAAGGTGAGGGGACAATGTTTCTGGGTGTGGGTGAGCGCCCAGTGAAGGCGGAGAGAAGGGCAAAGTGGGGGCTCGCCAATAGTCAGTGGTATGCTTGCGTTTATCTTTTTATTCTTACAGTATTCCTTGTATTTTGGGCGCGTGTACGGTGTGTGCCTTCAAAATTTGCTCCCTTGCAACTCCGTTGGACGACCCAGGCATTCTCTCTTATCTTTTGGCTGGTGCCCGTCGCTTCCTCTCCCCATTTCGGCATCGGCACTCTGTGTCCTGTGGCCTCTGTCACGCATCTTGCACAGTGACACACACACACACACACACGCATGCAACGACGCAGAGGGGACATAAGCAGAGGGGGAGGTGGCGGCGCCTAACAGCGAGAGGGAGACGGAACGGGAATTCTAGAAGAGTCTGATATCTTTGAGAGTGGTCGTAAACGTGTGTGTTCTTCCTTGCGTGTGTTCATTTGCTGAAGTAGGTACTGCCGCGGGTGCTTAGTTTGCAGGTATGCAACCAACCTGGGAGTGGAGGGCGCGGTCTTTACTGTCGATATCTCTCTTTTTATTATTTGTTTATTATTATTTATTTATTTATTTATTTATTTATTTTTTTGCGCCCCACTTCCCTCTTTTGTAGGGCGCAATAAATCTCCCACTGGGGGGTGGGTGGGTGGGTGGCGTGGGGCGTGGTAGGACTGACACATGAGGGGTTTTGTAGACGGCGCTGGGCTCTGGGGGGAGCGGCGGGGCAGGGCACACGGCAAGGACCAAATCTGCGGCGCCGGGAAGTTGGAGAATGAAAATTCCTCAGCGACGTCGAACGCCGCTTCTGAATCCGCCACAGCCGTGACGCCGAAATCCGTGACTGTGACGGCAGCAGAGAGTAATTATGACGCTGTTGATGGCAACGACGCCACGGCGGTGTTCCCATCATTTGGCGCCGAGATGGACAGACATCTGCTGGCTGTGGCTCGGGCATCCGAGTTTTCCGCGTTGAAAGCATTGGAGCTCTGTCAACAGGAGGTCCTGCAGCTGCAGCGAATGTGGGATTTGGACCGCGAAACGCAGCGCTGGACTATCGCCTCGTTGCAGGAGGAAGTGCGTGAACTGCGACACCAGTTGGAGCGCCAGCGCCGCTATGGGTCAGTGCAGCGTACACGCGAGAGTGCCACCGCGGCGGGCTCCCTCTCCGCGCTGTCCGTGAATGGAGGTGATTCATCGTTGCGGTATACGCTCGGCATGGAAGTGGGTGGGGCTAACCCTTCTTCAGAGGCCCCTGTAACGAGTGGCACAGAGGATTCGTACACCCGCACGGACACCTCGGCGGAGCATTCCTCTAGCTTCCAGTGCCACCACCTCGGGACTGACTCAGCCCGCGTAGAAGAACTGGAGGAGAGGGTAGAGCGCTACGGGCGCCTTCTACACGATGCCAACAAGGATTGTGGCGAGCTCCAGGCAGAATTATCACGTGTAGTACGACAGTTACACGATGCCCGTCGCTCGTTTACGCATCGCATCTCATCCCTGCTACGTGAGAAGGAGGAGATGACTCACAAGCACGCCAGGACGCTTGCGCACCTGGATGAAACCACAGGCCTGTTAATGGTTGCAAGAGCAGCAGAGCGGGCGGCATTGCAGCGTCTTAGTGAAGGCGCCCAGGGTGAATCGCACCAAATGTGTAGGCCGCCGACGGTGGAAGGTGGGAACTTGGGAGAAGTGTATTGTCTGCGTTGTGGCTGCTCTTCTGTCGCGTGCGGTGAAGTTTTGCGCCACTCAGTAGACGTTTCAATGGAGCGGCAACGCTGCAACTCCCTTGCTCTGCGTCAGAGCACGCTGGAGGACGAGGTATGCCTTCTGGAGTGTGAGGCGGAGCGCGACACCCGGCACGCGGAGGGAATGCGCCGCGTCATTGAGCGCCTCATCGACGAAGTGGACGGCTACGCCCGTGTTTGCTGCGCCGCCAACCAGGAAGCCGTTGGATGCCTGCGCGAGATGTCGTTGCTGTGGTTTGCTGAGGATGGGGCGGAGACGGACGATGCTGGCGCCGCCGACGCCGGCGACGAGGATGGACACAAGAGCTGTGATGGCGTGTCCCTGCTGCAGCTACAGGGGGGTGAGGAGCGGGATGGCGCCAATCGTCTGGAGCGTGCATCCTCGTCGGCACTGCATTCCTCCCCACTGCTGTCGTTAGAACTGGCGGCTTTGGGCGACACTTCTGCCGCCGCCACCGCCACTGCCGCGGAGTGCGGTGCCGTCGTGGCACCCAGTGGGCGAGACGGCCCTCGGCAGGGGAGCCCACGCTGAGGCGCAGCTACCAGCGCGGGTGACGCCATCATATGTGTTGCGTCAGCGGGAGCTCTGCGTGGGGGCTGCATCGCCGCCCAGCGCACTGCAATGCCGCTGTTCCGTTTTGCTCTTTCTCGTGCTTCTAGCCAACGCAACTTGCTGCGATGAATGCAGAGGCCGCGGCACACGCCTCGGCCGGAAGAACTAATGAAAAGGAAGACGGAAAAAAAAAACACGAATAAATCTGAAACAGCGAAGGAAAATCAAAATTAGTAGCAAACCCAGAGAAAGCGGAGGGAAATCGATAGAGAGAAAGAGAGAGGGAGGAGGAGGGGACGCGGAGGATATATCTGTCAGTTCGACATGCGCGCAGATTGTTTGCCTGATTCTCGTTCGCCCCTTCCCCTCTCTCAGGGAGTGCAGCCAACTATAAATAGCTTCCCTGCGTTCCGAATCTATTGTTGTTTTTATTTCTGTCCCTTAACCTACACAGTGCGCAACACAAGAGAGGGTGGAGAGGATTCACGCAAAGTGCGACCTCTGTAACGCCTTTGATGCAATGCGCGTCAGGGAACAGAATAGAGGGCATACGCGGCTCAGCGCAAGCCATGGGAAATGATGACTGATGATGATGATATGGCTTGCGGTGCGTCACCCTCCTCTCTGTATATGTAAATAGGTGCGTGCTTGTGCGGAATTGGCTTTTATGATCCATCTGCGCACGCATCTATGCATGACCGCCTCCTTTTTATTTGTCGAATTTTTACACTCTTTCTTTCATGTATCTTTCCCCTTGCTTCCTATTTCTGCTGTTCTTGTCTTCAGTCCAATTCCTGTTATGCTTTATGTTTGGCGCTGTACGCATGTATCTCCATTCTCTTTCAATGATGTACATAAATTTCCCATCGTTATTACTTAGTTTGGGCGTTCTCTTTTTTTTTTCTTGCATGTGTCTCTGGGCGGGTGCGAACAGGACGAGGTGTGCGGCGTGTCCCGCAAACGGACGCCCACCCGCAGCGACGCCCGTGGCTACCACCACGCACCCGCTTTTTTCCTCACCCTCCGCTCTCTCTCTCTCTCTCTCGCCGCACCTACATCGCAGCCGGTCTCTCCCTCCTCTGCGGACGCACACCGACGGCGAGAGGGTGAAGGGAAAGAGCACGAAAGAAAAAATGCTCAGCAACGCGAATGACGGAGTGAAGAGCAAAAAATAAGGCAGTTGAATCCGCGGGTATGCAACACTGAGGCGTTAATAAAGTGCCTCGACTTACACGAGCCATGAAGCCCTTTCTCATCCCTCGCTTGTTTGGTTCGCCACATGTATTTCTTGGCAAGGAAGGGTGCGAGGTGGGCGGAGGGAATTGAGGGTGATGTATTTGTGTGTGTGTGTGTGTTTTTTTCATGCTTTTCCTCCCTCGGCAGCCCGGACCCGCCTCTATTATTGTTATTGTTCTGCTTTCTACTTACCCTGGTGTTTTTATTTGCGTCTCTTCTTCCTTCTGCCCGTTTCTTCCTTGCCGACTTTTTTCTTTTGCTTCTGCGTGTCTTTCTGGAGGGGCGTCTGTCAGCTGCCGCTGCGTTTCAGCCCATTTTTTTTTCTCTCCCCCCCCCCCCTCTGCCTTTTCCCGCAAAACTTTTTGTCGTTTACGTGAAAGTGTCGATTATGCTGCACTGCCCCGTCTCCTCTTCCCTCGTCGCAGGGCGCCGCATCGCCCTCGCGCTGTTTTCTCCCGTGCCGCAGCACCGCAGCCCCCCATCCCCCTCCACGTCATTTTCTCCCGGGCTTTTGACTCGTTCCCCCCGCTAGCTAGTGGCCGTAGCTGACGAGCAACCCCACGATTAGCAGCGACGCACACCGTTATTGGGCAGCTTTCGCTTCTGTACAAATATACTTCCACACGTTGGCCAGTAGAACTTATTATTGTCAGCTGTCGTTACTGTTATTTCTCTTTTTGGTTTGCTGGGAGCCTCGCCGAGCATGTCACGCAGATATCGCTATCAGCGCACACACACTTTTGCCGAGCGCCAGAAGGAGGTGTTGACCATCCGTGGCCGCTTCCCGCAGCATGTCCCGATTGTATGTGAACCCGCATCAAGTGACACGGCGCTGGGCGCTGGCGCTATCTCAGACCGCTACCGTGTGCTGCGGGACTTAGACTGTAGCAAGTTTCTCGTCCCTGGCGACGCATCCATGCAGCAGCTCATGGTTCTTCTGCGTACTCGACTGGTGCTTGAGGCGGAGCAGGCGGTCTTTTTGTTTATAGACGATACCGTCCTACCAAATAGCGCCTGTGTGGGCGACCTCTATGCGCAGAGGAAGGACACCGATGGATTCCTGTACATGACATACAGCATTGAGAGCGCCTTTGGCGGCACCTTCGTGCGGCAGAGGCGGAAGTAGCGACTGTGCTCTGAGGCGCACCGTGCTGATGGTCATAGAGGTCAGTTAGGAGTTTGTTCTTCACCGCCACGTTTGTTGAATGTTTCTTGTTGTCTCCCTCGTTGTTTTTTCTGCGGTAGTTGCTGCTTCTCATCCCCAGCTCTTCAGTCAGTTGGGCGCAGTCGTTGGCTCTCATTTCTAGCGACTGCCCCCCCCCCTTTTTTTTTTATGTTTTGTTTTATGCCACTTTGTTGGGCTGGGGCCACGCCCGACGTGTTTGGCACCTGAAGTACAAGAACACATCAGTGCCTGTGCGAATATGCCTGTGTAGGCATTTATTTGTGTGCGTGCGTGTGGGCTTTCGGGGTGGGGAGCAGGTGTAGGGGCGAAGTTGCAACCCACTCACTCCCTACCCTCTCCACTCCCCCTTCTGCGCCTATCAACGGCAGATCCACAGGCGAAAAAGAGGTGTGGGGGAACATCTATGGTGAACAAACACCACGTGCCGAGTGTCTTGTCCCTCGTTTTTTATTTTTCTTTCTTTTTGACGTTTACGTGTTGTTGCTGTTGTGTGTGTGTTTTCGCTTTGGGTGACGCCTTTTATACACACACGCATTCACAACGCACGCATCTATCCAGCCAGATGCTTGTGTGCACGTACATACACGCAACACTTGTAATAGACGTGGACCATGCAAGTATATTGCTATCGGCCCACGGCTATGAGGCATGCGTCACTATCCTTCTCCATATGTGCTTGTGTGCAGCTATGGACCTAGTAAGCTGTCAACTCTGTTTTTCCCTTGAACCCCCGTACATTCGTTTTGACGGCAGGCCAAGTCTGTGCACCCCGGCTCAAACAAGAAGGAATCAATATACACACGTGTAAACACCTCATACATACCTGGCAGGAGTGTAAGTTGGACAGGGCAGATTGGGAAGGAAAAAAAATCGTGATAGTAATTATATTCTTGCTGAAGCTAACACGTGTTGGTTAGCCGCAGCCTATGTTTTACACTGGATGCAGCTATCGAGGGGAGACGACTCCCGACGGGAAACGTTTCAACGAACAAGGGGTCTACACCTTCGCCAATGGCGACACCTACGTCGGTGCATTTAAGGACGGCCGCATGCATGGCCATGGAACCTTGTTTTTTACTGCAGAGAGAGGCGGTGGCCAATATCGTGGCGTCTGGGAGGATGGGCGCAACGTGTCGGGGGCATTCGTTTTTGCGGACGGGTTGGTTTACGGCAGCGGAGAGGATACTGCGACTGCCCATACTACTGCTGTCAACAATTCGGCGTCTGCCACAGGTAGTCGTAAGCCCGAGGTGAAGCGCGGTGTTGACGGGGGTGCTCCTCCTGGCAACGAGCCCGGCACAGCAAGGAATGCGAGGGAAAACGTGGCGGAGGAATGGCTGTACTGCCGCGAGGGAGACCGGCGGTTGTGGGCTGAGCACCTCCGCGAGGTGATGCCGGTGCTGCCAATGCAGTCCGTTTTGGGCGGTGTCCGTGTGCCGCAGTCGTCGCGCTGGGCTGTGGAGCCGGTCGTGGCGCCGAGCGTGGCGGCGGAGGCCAAGATTCCCGCAACATTTGTGCTGGGGCAGCCTCGCTCCCTGGCGGAGGTGCCGGCAGACTACTGGGAGGAGCCGCAGCAGCGCGAGGGAGTCATTGCGTCGATGGAGCTTCCGACGCCCCCATTCAGGGGGGCGCAGGCCGGCGCCGGTCGGGAGGAGACGATGGTGGACAGTGGCGACAAGCCCGCAGTAAATCTTTCACTTCGCATCATCGCCCCGCTGGAGTCGGAGGCCATGCGACGCGCCATCGCCGCCGCCGTTTCTGCTTCTGCGTCTGCCGCCAAGGCCTCACAGGAGGGAGCCCCGCCACCACAACGCCCCCCTCCCTCGTCAGATACTACGGGCCACAGTGGCGTTGGTCGTTTGCTCGCCTCTAGCGAAGCGGATGCAGTAGAAAACAAAACGGCGACTGCCGATGACGACAGCGTAGAGGCCCAGCACCGCACATCGGGAAACTTGTCCTCGCACGACGCAACTGTAGCGCCTTGTCCATCTAATAGACCTTCCTCAGCGTCGCTCACCTCGCGTGGGCCTTCGGCTTTTGAACCAAAGGATGCTGTGTGTGAAGCACTGGAAGGAGGGGCTTGCAAATTGGTTTCCGAGGCGACACAGGAAGTAGCTGCCCCATCAGCAAACATAGAAACCGTTATGGCTGCGTCCCTTGTTCAAGAACAATCTGAAACTGACGTGAAACGACAGGATGACCTCAAAGAGAACGAGCATCAGCAGCAAGAGGGTGCTTACGCTGAGGAGCAGTATGACGCACAAGCCGAGGAGCAGCATGACGCACAAGCCGAGGAGCAGCATGATGTCCACGAGCAGGATGGACAGCTGGAGGAAAGATCTGTATAAAAACGTTGAGTCTGTGAAAGGGATTGAGCGTATGCGGTCATTGAGGGGGTTTACTGTACTTCATATTGGGGTAGCAGTGAGTGCCGCACATGTATCGGAAGGCGGGAGTGCGACGCCTTGTTCAAATGTACTTAAAATTGTATTTGTTTTTCTCCACGCGCGTGTGTCTTGTAGTGGGGATGTGTCGGGGTGACGAATACCATCAATTTTGGACAGA